TGTGTTTGTATTTCTTAAGGAATAATTCGTTTACACCACGCTGCACCAAGTGAGAACTACCCATGAAGAGCTCTAGCCCAGAGGAAAATTAATTCTGACAATTTAAAAAAAAATTTATAAAATATTCATTCTTATCTTTAACAGGATCCTTCATATCTTGACAGCAGTAAACATAAAAGGGAAGGATGACTTACTTAATTTCTCATTCAACAGCTAAGCAAGCCAAAGAAAACAAAGATCTTTTTTTCAAAACAGAAGGGGAAAAAATAGATTTAAAAGAAAAAAAAAAAATCAAGATTACCCTGTGAAGGCCTTTGAACTACAGCTTTGTGATTACACTCTTAGAGCCAAGGCTGGCATACGACAGTTTGGCAACACATCAAATTTTCTGCCAACTACTTCAAATGTCAGTTGCTTGCACACAAGGTTTCACTGCTGCAACAACTGAAAAAAAACCAGCCCTGCAAAGCTGATGAAATAAGTGTTCAGGCAGCACAAAATACAACCTCTGATCTGTGTCTTCTAAGAGACACACCTGACTCCTCCTGTTTCCTCCCTGTAGCAGTGCTGCCCTGGGACTGAGTCCAGGCTATAAGCCCAGTGGAACTCATTTGGTAAGTTTGTGCTGCGCTCAGTTCTGTGCCTCATCTCTGAGGCTGCTCTAGGCTGAAAAACCACATTCTGAACTGCACACACACACACACACACACACACACTGCCAGAGCTCCAGTGGATGCTTAAAAAATTGTTTTTCAAAAATCAATAGTCAAAATCTACTGGAAGATTTTTTTTTTTCCTACAGACATAAATAGTCCACTCTACTGGCTGATTATGCAATGATTTACATCTGTAATGACTCAGATTTCTCTCATCCTACAAACTCTCATCCAAGAGACTGTCAAAATCCAGTATTCTCAGCTATTTGTTATCACTTCTCCCCCTCCCCAAGTCATCTCAGTTGTCAGCCCTGAAAAAAAGATACTGCAGCATTACGGTGGATCCACTCTGCAGTGACAGTGATTGTCAGAAAGCCTGGTAAGCCCCTTGCGAATTCACCAGAACACCAAAGTTACTACAAAAACTTCTGTTAACTTTCCTACCCCGGCCGTATTTCTAGAGGGTCATGTCATGCACACTGTTTGGCTGCAAGATCTTAAGCTCTCCCTGTAGATCACATGAGACTCAAATAATGAAATAATAATAAAAAGGGATAATTTAGCCAAACAAAATTATCACATTCACTTATTAGTTAACTCTGAAAACACAGAATTTCAAAGCAGCAGCTCATGAGTTAAGCAGGAACCTCTGCTGTAAGTGTGCTCTTCATTCCCCTATGCCACTTGCTAGTCTCCTTGCAAAATAAGCTCCCTTTGAGCTGTGAGGCATAAAGGAAATGGAAATTGCCACTGACAGGTTCCCCAACTTTTGCATTTTTGCATAATATTGATAGTGCTGCACAACACAGACAAGTGACTGTTCTTTCATCTTACTGTAACAGATCTGCCTCTTTCCAACACACACAAGCCAGGTTCTTTTCTGGCCTCACCATCTCCACATTTCTTTGTTTACCTCAGGAAAATGTGAAAATGGTTAGCAAGTTTCTAATTAGGATCAAACCAAAGCTCTTTTTCCCACATGGCTAAAAACATATATTAAAAACAATGTAGTGAATTTGTGTATCTGTTAGATGCTAGTATATACTGATTCGCATTTTCATTCCAGCCAGGGCTAGTGGACATCAGACAATATCCACAAACGCATTAGAAAGAAGTTTTATAAAGTACTAAAGGAAACAATCCTGTGTTGGACAACAGCAGCTGATAGCCTGGTACTTTCTAAAATGTAGGATTATATGAAAGCAAATGGCTTCAAATGGTTTCTAGGAAGTTTGTGCGAGTGCTGTTCAAAGAAAGACTTCTTCCTAAATTTAAGACTACTAAATTCTTTCAAGCACCTAAACAGCCTCTTCTCCCACAGCTTCTAAAAGCAAAGTTGGATACTTTTCACAAGGGAAACACCCATTATAAAGTCACACATTTTTTAAGCATATATATTAATGAATTTATACATAAGCAAAAGCTACTTCCTCCTAAAGCATTAAGGTGTGTCAAAGTCTGTTGTTCAGAAAGCAACTCCTGTGATAACTGTGCCATATACAGTCTGCAAAATTATCAAAATAACCATAAAACAGAAAGAAGCACTTAATATTGAAAGAGGCAAATAATGTATGAATAAACCTTTAGATTGTAAAGAATAAAATGCCAAAATAAGCCAAAAACATTCAGCCACAACTCTACATTCTTAAATTCCCTAGCTTTTCCAAAGTAATCTCCCACAGGGGTTTTATCAGCAGCCACTCTGCACATGCAACAGCAGACTACAGCTATCTGAATAATGAAGATACTCCCGCATTCCTCCCAGAGTAACGGTCCTATCAGACTAATAATTGTTACAATCAGTAAGCAACACCAGGAAGAAGGATGGTCTCAGCAGTTAATGGAAGTCAGAAGCTTCCAGTTCTCACTTCTGCTAGAGATCTTTGGTGTAATGACAGAAGCATTCAATCTGCAGTACATAACTAAAAGAATGAGACAAGCGAGATCATTACAAATTACTTCCACCTCTGCTGATTTGGCAATATGAACTAAAGCAAAAGCATCTGCAGAGTATTCCACTTGCCTTTCAAGTTGAATTCTGACTATGTCATGTTGCTCCATGCTGTTTAGGTAAGGGATTAATAATCTGACCACTGCCCCTAAAACCCAAAATACTTAACTTTTTTTAAAGCAAATAAACAAAAAGCCACAAACAACAAAAGAAAACCCACACCACAACTGGTTGGATTTTTAAGCTCTCTTTTCTCTAAAGATCTCTAACAAAGTGCTATGCAGAGCCAAATAACACTTCACACCAAGTGGCAATCCTTGTCACTCAAATACCATGAAGTCAGAGTGGCTGAAAGGACATCCCAGTTACACACTGGTATCTACTGCATTATTTGGAGGGAGAGGCAGAGAGTTGCACTTGGGCTTCTGTACTCATCTATGTTCAATGTATTGTCAAAGTGTTCTGGCAGGCACTAAGTGTGCCACAGCGCTCAGCACCAGAACGAAAGGTACGGCCGTACAGAACCAAGGGTACGCAGTCATCAAACTGACCTTCCGGAGATACAGGTTCTGCTCAGTCATGGACACCATGCTCACCATGAATGATCAAAGGACTGCAGCATCTTTCATATGGGGAAAGGCTGAGGGAGCTGGGCCTGTTCAGCCTGGAGAAGAGATGACTCAGAGGGGATCCCATTAAGGTTTATAAATATCTAAAGGGAGAGTGTCTGGAGTCGTGGACAGGACCAGACTCTTCTCACTGGCACCCAACAATAGGACAAGAGGCAACGGGCACAAACTGCAGCATAGGAAGTTCCACCAGAACATAAGGAAGAACTTCTTTACTGTGAGGGTGACTGAGCACTGGGACAGGCTGCCCAGGGAGGTTGTGGAATCTCCCTCCATGGAGATACTCAAAAACTCTCTGGACAAAATCCTGGTTCACGTGCTATAGGAGTCCCTGCTTGAACAGGGTGGTTGGACTAGCTGACCTTCAGAGCTTCCTTCCAACCTCAGCCATTCTGTGAAAACCACTGTGTACTTTATGTGATACTAATTCACATATACACACTTGTTATCATGCTCTTGTACACCCTACTAGCATGTACAGAACTGTGGGGTACAAAAGATGGTCCCCAGTTGCTGTTATGAGCTGTCAAGCTGTTGTGATGCTCATGAACCAACCAAGCTGGCAGCAGAAACAGAGACTACTTTCTCTCTGCAGCTGCTGGTCTTCAGCTTGCCACCAAGATAAATGGTGACAATACTGGCAGAATGGAGACAAAAGGAGCAAAAGCAAGACAACCCAGTTACATTTCAGTGATTTCACTGGTTTTGTTTTGCAAGCCACTTGGATCTCCCCATTACCAGTCACAGTTCTCAGTCCATCTAATCTATCTACCAAGTATTCTTAGGAAGCATTCCTCAATAGATCATGCATCCCCAGGGCACAAAGGATCATCTAATTACAAATTCCAGTCTCACTGTACACAAGTCATTTAGGCTTATAAACAGCTACTGCAAACAGGCACATTACAACATTAATAAATTACATTAAAAACAAATTAAAAAAAAAAAACACACAGAAGCCTAAAAAAACCTCTGGGATGGGTCTACAACAGTACTTACAGAACTACTGTTATAAAGTAGAACAGAACACAGGCAAATATGTATCTGTACTGTCCAAAAAAGTTGATATATTGCCTTGAAGCTGACAGATCTTTTGCTAGAGTGACTAACATGTTGATTTTGTGACTTGTGTTTATGCAACCCAATCTGAAAGTTTAACTCGTAATACAGCATGGAAATGGGGACTTGTACAAAAGGAATGTGCACTGCCAGCAGTTCTCTTCCTAAAACTCCTCATATTTGAGAACACATTAAGCATTGCCAGTCAATGTTTAATAGTTATGTATGTAAGCAATTCAGAACACCTGATTTTCAAAGAAAGCACAATTTTTTACACTGCTATCCATTGATTGCATTAATCTGTGTAAGAAGATACATAAAGTACATCTGAATATTAAAAAAATGGCTTCAGAGAGAACAACGAGCTACTGTAAATACAGCATCTGTCAAAGTTAAATAACCACAGGCTGCATTTTTATCCACTTCATCCACAAACAGTAATTGCTGGCATTAGCAGGAAGTTTTTCCTTCCAAAGAGAATTTACCAGAAGACAGTTTTAGTTCTATTTAATGTAGTTTAATCTTGCTACATTTCAAAGCTCATTCTGTTGTTACTATTAAAAATAAACACAAGTAAAATGTATACTTTACCCAGCACGCAGACCACTCATACACAACCTTAAACAACAGTAGAAAGTTCAAAGACCAAACGTAAAAACAGATTCGTAGCTATTTTTAACAGAGTGAGGATTTGTATGAACTTACAGTAAGATTCCAGTTGATCTGTGGTATTCTTGTGTGAAGATTTAGACTGAACATAAGCAACAGAACTCCAGTAACCACCAATGCACTACAGCTCACAAACTCAAAGAAATAAAGGCCTTCGCAAGGGGAGCATTCCATGATGGTCTCTATGCAGATGAATGCAATCAGTGCCAAAACCTAGGAAGAAAAACAAGTGGGAAAAAATATAAATAGATTTCCACATTTTGAAAGCAGCCACAAGTATTCCTGAAATTTCCATTGGGAACATGATCAGTTTACACTCAGGAATGTGTGATTTTAGTTTATAACAGCGCACTGTCTAAAGAGCAAAAACAAAAGCAAATTAATGCAAGACTTTCTGGAGATCTCCTGTTCAACAAAGTATATTTTAGCAAAATTACAAAAAGTCTAACATTAAAATTACTGAATCACACAGAAAGGCATGAAACCCCTTCAGGCCATTGGCTTAATATGCAAACAGTACCTCAAACATTTTATTTCATTTTTCACTCATGATATGCTAATTCCAAAACCTGAAGATGGAATGTATTTGTATATAGGGCCAACCTCAAGCTCCATTACGTAGTATTAACACAGAGTGATTGTGAAAGACATTTCAATAAAGCTATTATTTAAAATTTACTACCAACTTGAGATCTAAATCAATTCAAAATAGAATAGATTCAGGATTTCTATCAGCCTCCAAAAATGCCTGCCTTTTTCATGTTTTTCATCATCAATATGCTATATTTATATTAAAAATGTATTTTATCATTCCCTTATAAGACAATAAAACAAGCAGTTAATAGATGAAGGAAAAACTCCTGGTGCTGCAAATACATATATCTAACTGGGATACTGGTTAGTCACACTAAATTCAGAAGATATCCTGGTTAACACAAACCAAGACAAGAGTTTAATTTACTATTTAGGGTAAAGCAGTGAAACTGACTATACTTAAAAAAACCCAAACCTGCCCAACAGACAAAACTAAAAAAAATATAAAAAGCATACACCAATTTTAGCTAGCACTGATAGCTACCACAGTGTATACAACTTACATATGTAAGTCTACGTTTCAAACTGATTCTTCTTTAAATAAAACTGGTAAAAGAAAAACAGTTGCATAGACAGTTTTGTTTGGGGCTTTTTTTTTTTGGTGGTGGGTTTTTTGGGTTGGGTGTTTTGGTTTTTGGGTTTTTTTTAATTTTCCATGGCAAGCAAGGAAGGTTTTAAGAATGTTTTGCTTTGGTTTTCAAGACAACAACTCCCCCACCCACCCACTTACATTTTTCAGAAATAATTCACTTTTTTGCTCTGCTGCAAAATTCTAATGAGATTGTATTAAGTCAGTTCAATTTAAGGATGAAGAACTCTGGGAAATCGCCTCCTCAGAGCTAAATATTCCATAATGTGAATGTTTTGCACAAACAAAATGTAAGTTTAAAAGACCGACAGAAGCCACAATATAAATCAATTTGTGCTAAATCCTTCTTTGCCAATTTCAATAATGTTTTGCAGATACATTTTCTTCCAGTACTTTTTATGCTTCATTCATTAATTTCTCTTTGGCTCCTACAACAGAACTAGGAAAATGAAGAAAAAGGACTTTGAAAGAAGTTACCATTTTTGTCACTAACATCAGCAGTAATTCCAAGTAAAGGCCAATATCCCACATGCTTCATTTGCCACATACTTCAGAATACAGTAGCTTATTTAAGTTTTAAAATGGATTAAAACAAAGCAAAACAGTTTTAAACAAAAACTCACTTGGGTAGAAAGTCCCTCAGTTCACTTAGCACACTCTAAAAGGGCACATGCCGTACTAATTTTTGCCAGCTAATAGATCAGGCCAATTCACATCAAACAAATTCTGAATGGATACCCAGTGACTAAACACTTAACTTCAGATTTTATCTCTGACATGGAATAGCTTTGGGAAACAGGAGAGAATGACTAGGCAGTGAAATGGAACATTCAGAAAAACAGAATCAAAAGTTGAACTACGATTTCAGCAATGACACACACACAAAAAATACTGTCCAGAACACAGCTTAATTTTACAGTATTAGCATGCAATGAAGTCCACCTTTTCTGTGAACACATGCCTCATAACTGAAGATGACACTGAATACAATTTCAGGGGGAAAAAAAAAAGTAAAACTCTAAAAAAAAAAATCTGAGCTGTTTCAAGCAGGTATTGTTTCAAGTATTAATGCTAAATGTTAGCCGGCAAAACTTTAAGATGCTCCAATATAATAAAGTTACTGGTTTTGATACATTATGACACTTCTAAAATTTTCATTTATTTTAAAATAAATCATTCTGCAGCATTCTCTAGAAATATTGTAGTACAACCTCAAAGAATATTAGGTTCATTTTCAAAAAATATTAACAGCTCTGAATTGTACCAACAACATTAGGCTGAAGGAGCCAAAAACTCCGGCACACCAATTGCTACGCTGGGCAACTGCTGCTTGGCATATGGAATCTCTGTTGTTTTGCTGATAAAAATCTTACACTGCCTCTTCTCCACCCCAGACAGCATCACTTCTTCAAGGCTAACGTACCCATCTTAGCAGTCAAAGCTCAAAAACGATGGAAGAGTTTCTTGCATTGGAAATGAAGCACTGAAGAGGCACCTGGAGCACTGAACTCTAATGACCACGTGTTACTTATATACTCCCCAGCTCAGAATTAATAAACTTCAGGGAAATTCTACCTTAGATTTCATTTTATCCCTTAAGAAATTAAACAGTACTTTTACCTGTGACACATCCTTCTAAGAAAGAGAAGTGTTAGTTGTGTACACTGAGGTTTGACTTAACCCAAGCCATTTCCAAGGTAAGTGAAGATGAAACACCAGTTTCAGTGCAGCGGCACTAGTGTACAGTGGTCTGGGCTGTGGCAGCTCAGGCCTATGGATCTGTTTATCAGAAGGGCTGGGAGAAAACCTCAGTTGCTTCAGTTTGTGATGAAGATTCAGGCCACAAAGCAGAGGCTGTGTTTTGGAAACATACACAATAACTACTAACAGGAGTATTATCACCACAGAGCGGGTTGGGACACCTGACCACTGGTTGGTTGGAGTGACAGGGAAAGGAGAACATTCCCATGCACACAATTTATTTGTACCACTTTTGTACTTCAAGGAAGATTCCAACTAAATGAGTTACTATTTTTCTTGCAAGAAAAATATATTTCACTCTTCTCAAATATTATCCATCCTGCCAGTGGTGCAGATAATACCTTCCTGTTAACTCCCCATTATTTGTCTCACAATGAATGCTATGACAAAAAATGAAATCCCAATTAATCACCACATCAGAAAAAGCTACCCTCCCACAGAAATTCCCTTCTTGTAAACACAATAAAAATCTCAGTCTTTAATACAAAATACTTTCTCTTTGAAACAGAGTAATCTTGTCCTCCTACACATTTATAAACTTGCCAGAAGCATCCTTCCAATTAACAAGTAATGCAAATCTCCTATAAAAACACACTAGTGCTGCTTTCATTGGCCATGCAGAGACGAATCTAATTTTGTTTCTAATAAAAAAAGCAAAGCAAACTACTCTGAACACATGAAATTAAAGTAAAATACATTACAGAATCAAAACCATGACTTAGACAGCTACATTACTTTAAAATATTGTGTAAATGCTGCAGCATGAGCCAAAGCAGCTTGCCAAAGGCCATAGTGCATCCAGTGATCAAAAAAAACCCAAAAACATGTTAATATTGTAAGAAAAATGCTTTATTTTCTCTGCATTTTTTAATTTATGAAATAAATAATTTAAGAGACAGGCTATATAAATTAGGTATTGAATTAACACCACTTTGCCACCCAGAATACCACTTGATTGACATGGCCATAAAGTAGAGTGACATGATAAGCAACCGCCCAGAGTGTCCCACTGCAAACTGCAGGCAGAGCAAAAGCCAGTCTTGGACTCAGCCACCCCAGCTTATTTTCTGAAGGACTTTGGCACAAGTTTAGCACTAACCATCTTCTCCTGTTCCCTCAGATCTCTGTAATTATAATGAAAATATCTTCTTTCAAACCTTCTTTTATCTCCATTGTCTGTCTACCACCCACCACTGAATTAGCTAATGTACACGCAGCTCGCACCTTACCAAGGCTCAAAGACCTAAAAAGTCACTTCTCTAGAGCTGCCCCAGATGACCGAGGTGCAAAGCTGCAGCAGAGAAAGATCCTCGTTTCCCAACTGCTAAAGCTTTGCTCTTGCTTTGTAACACAAGTCACCAACGCTACCTCAGAAAACCAGGAGACAGGATGTATCTAGTCCTGCAACTGCCTCCCACGACTGCAGTTACAGGGCTAGCCAAAAATAATAAAAAATAAAAACCAGAGCCCAGGTCCCAGGCAATGAAATGCACACTGCCATCTGTCCAGGGCAGGAGGTGACGCTCACTTTTGAGTCATCTCTCTTCTCACAGTTTAGGGTGATGAGTTTTGACAAGTTTTTCCACAAGCAGAAGTTTCAAAGTTGGTTTACTGAGGAAAAATGAGAAGTTGAACGTGGCAGAGATCTCCTCTTACATGAATTACTGCTCTCTCCTACAAATGACACGGCTACAGCTTTCTTGGGCAGAGTCAACTGAAAAAGTTTCCTCTGATGGATGAAACAAACCTTTTTGTCTGTTTTCCTCTGCACTGAGTACTTTGGAGAGTTTTCTATTCCACCCTAATTCCTACAAGTGCCCTAAGATTTGTGTAACTCTTTTATTACTATATTTCTCTTTTTTAACAGTTGCTCTTGGTTTCCCTTCTATTTCCACTCTTCTTGAGGTAAGTACAGCAGATATTGCGCTGATGTGTGACTCTGTCACTATGGAAACATCTGTTTATTTGACTGGATGCTCAGGTCCATGCAGAGGCATCCTAGCCTACCTGCAATATCATCTTTTTCTTGAACAAAGGATCAAGATGGAGCAGACCTCTCCCTGCCCTTCATTCCTCATCTACCGCCACCACATAACGCAAAGGCAGAATAAAATCTCCAGGCAGAAGATTAAGTATGAGACGTATTTCCCAAAAACTACTTTTTGTGCTTTTTGTCTTGAATAAACCGGCAAACTGTTGTCCAACTTTATTGTCTGGGACATTCAGGACTGCTAAGGCAACTCACATACAGTGAGAGGCTATTGCACTTCTACTGAACAGCAATGAACCCCCACATAGAGCCTCTATTCAGAGTGAAGCAGCCCCTCACTGGAAGGGGATGAAGTGACCACAATTTAGGACCATTTAACTCCTGAAAGAGAGCCTCTATACTGGGATCCAGTGTCCTTTAATTTAGCCACATTAGCCTCCCACCATTATTGCATTCATCTCAACTTTCCTGTAAATTCCCCTGGAGAAGGGCCCTTAATGAAGAAATCATCTGCCTTAGGGCTATGTAAATGGCTTATATTTACATCACTATCTTGGCAACACAGGCAAGTCAGACATAAAACGCTGTATTTCCCCAAAACCGAGAAAATGAGAAAATGTGCTACGACAGAGGCACGAATGTTGAAAGAGAGCTTTTATTCTTGGCAACACAGACAAGTCA